AAGCAGCCTGGCTTTCCTGCAAACCCACCGGAACACAAACACACAGAGAACCCTGATCACCGGGGACTCGATAATCAGGGACGTGACTAACAAACCTTTCAAACGAAAAAGTCTGCTTTCTGGGGGCCACAGTCTGTGACATAATGGAGAAAGTACCCGAGATCATACCAGAGATCAAACGTAACCTCAGCATCACCAACAGGAATGATACACATTTGGACAGGAATAACATTCCAGAAGAGCGATCTGGTGCTCTGCCAGGGCTCCTAACCTCTCTCCCAGTTCAGGTGCACGTACTGGGCCCATTGCCCACAACTGGCCAAAGGATCAGCCAGTTCAGCATGCTGCTGGGACCAGACACTTGGCTCACAACTGCGTTTGTGACTCACAAAGTACATTTCGTTGACAACTTTAAACTGTTCTGGCAATGCAGGTGTGTCCTTAGGCATTTTCCGGGGCATAAAGGCTTATATCAGGTCTGTTGTACAACATCTCGCATCCACCCAAAAATCATATCAGAGACAGTGTCAGTCTGCAAAAGCCAGAGTCACCTGTTAAAAACATGCTACGCATATGTAGAAAAGTACTTGGGGGAATGGGTGAGTATCTGTGCTGTGTGAATGAGATTTATACCCGTCCCCGTCGTGCAGTGAGTGTTAGAAATTGATGTGCACTAATCCATGTCACTAGCCAAAATATCTCCGGTATTTGTGATTGCAGGTGGCATGGCAGCGTGAGACATTTGGTGATCAGTGGTGACACCACAACAAGATGCATCCTCTGCATTTAACCCATACTTGACATAACAGGGGGCAGCTAATTCAGCACCTGGGGAGCAGTGCATGGGGGCGGTACCTTGCTCAGGGTATCTCAGTGGTGCCTTGCTGGTCAGCGATTCGAACCTGCAATCTTTTAATTACAAATGCACTTCCCTACCCATTAAGCCACCACTGCCCAATCGAGCAGAGATGTTCAGATAAGTATAATTTAATTAGTGTGAAGTGTCTTAACATCAGTGAAGGGAAACTAAATCCCCAGGTTCTTAAGGCTGTTGTACTGAATGTCCGCTAAGTCAACAACAGATCTTTCATAGCAGACTAGCTGATTGAAAGCCAACATCTTGATGTTGTTTTCCTTCCTGAGACCTGGCTTGATAGTAATGGTGCCCCTTAACTCAATAAAACACATCCTCTCAGTCTTTGTTTTTTCAATATGTCCAGCTTGAACAGAAAGGGAGCTGGTGTAGCACAGTGTTCCCCAACCCAGTCCTCGGGGAACCACGGACAGTCCACGTTTTTGCTCCCTCTCAGCCCCCAGCGCACCTGTACCAGGTATTCGGTGTTCCTGATTGGCTGGGAGCTGGGAGGGAGCAAAAATGTAGACTGTCTGGGGTTCCCCGAGGACTGGGGTGGGGAACACTGGTGTAGCATATCTATTTCATAGTACTTTCATAGTACTGATTTTTTTTTTTAACTGATGAATATGTTTTAACAACTGGTGATTTTAACATCTATATAGACATGGCCACGGATCCTAAAAGCATAGATTTTATCATATTACTAAACTCATTCGCTATACAATCTCTACCTCCTCTCCTCGAATGGATAGGGAGGCAACCGGAGACTGTGATCTTCATTCGACCGCTACCAGTTCCTTCGTCTTACCGACATTAAATTTGAGATGATTCCAGTCGTCAACAAAGCTGTCAACCACCAAAAACCCACCAATGAATCTGCAGGCTTATCAAGGCTTATTGATTTAGTTAATAATAATATGACCCAAATTCTGCAGTCATTTGTCATTTTTACATTTACAAACGTGACCTTTGTAGTAAACCTTATTCCCGCAAATTCTTTTTTAAAATAAAACTGAACAATGATATACAAAAATCTCTCAGAAGATACAGAATTAAATCAAATGCTTTCACTGGGCTGTTGAACTACTATTTACTCGCTTTTGTCTGACCTTGTCCACTGGATCCTTATTTTAAGTGAGGAAAAGGCTGAGTTTAGTCTCAAGAAATCAAAACAACCAACTACAACTAGAATATTTTGCTGAATTTTACGGTGATTCGCTGTTCTTGAGCTTGTCAGTAGGGGGGATGTGGGAAGAGGAAAGGTGTAGGGCAGATTTGCACAGGATACATTTCTTGACACAGGCAGAACCTGAAGTCATAAGTAAACATTCAATACAGAAAGCATTTAGCTAATTGAGGTTGTGAGTTAGTTACGGCTAATGCTGGTTAAAGTCAGTCATGGGACCCAAATATTGTGGAAGAGCCTGCCAGCTCACGTGTGGAACGCCAAACCGGTCTCAGTCTCTATACCCCAACTAATGATCTGCCAGCTCACGTGTGGAACGCCGATCCGGTCTCAGTCTCTATATCCCAGCTAATGATCTGCCAGCTCACGTGTGGAACGCCAAACGGGTCTCAGTCTCTATATCCCAACTAATGATCTGCCAGCTCACGTGTGGAACGCCGAACCGGTCTGTCTCTATATCCCAACTAATGATCTGTTCCTGAAATCTTGTTTTCCGCATCTTGACACATAATAGAGTGATCCATGGCTGTTGGTGCTGCAGAACAAGACCCCCACCTGTACAGATTGTGCCCGGGGTGGGTACTGTCTGAGCTGGAGTCCTGGTTCAGTCCTATGGAGGGGTAGCATCATGGGTATAACTTATGACGTCGTGGGGGCAGCTTTCGAACTGCACCCTGCACAGACCAGCATGGAGAACTGACTCATTGTTGGACTTTGGCTTTGCCCTCGACCACATTTTACACATTGCTTTTTAGTAAGCAAGCCCACTCTTTCCTTTTCAATAATGTTGGCATAGGCGGGCGGGGGGGGGGGGGGGGGGGGGGGGGGGGGGGGGGGTTCTTCTTATTCTTCTTCTGACTCAGGAGTTTTTAGTTCCTCTCCTTTGTTGTCTCTTGGCTTTTTTTTTCTCTTCTCCATTTTCCTCTATCATGCATCATTTTGTGTAAATCGTGTAATAATGCATTGCCAAATGCCTGTGAGCGACTCTGTTGTGAAAGTCACTGTATAAGAATACATTAAAATTGAAACATACTGATACAAAACGCAGGGCTAAAGAGAGAGAAAAAGAACTTGTAGACCTCTTCCTCATGCATACCTTGTACGCATACAGTCCTTGTTTTACTCGGTCACCATAAACACTTGTGGCTGTTTGCAAAGTGTCTAATTTGTTTCAAGCAGTAGCCAATTCACTAAAAGGTGGCCTGAACAAGACCAGTCAGTGAAAAATAATGAAGCTAAAACTTGGGAAATTTCTACTTGCTATTAAACAGTCCGTATAATTTCATCCTACTTCATCTGAAATTAAGTTTGGCAGTTCCTAAATGAAAGTCTAACATGTTATTTCGGTCAGGGGCCTCTATGGTGGAAAAACTCAAGGATAGATGATGTCCATCCAGTGATTCTGAAAACAATCAATGTTGTTTGGGTGACATGGTTGACATGTGTTTTAAGTGTTGCACAAAAAGAAGTTAAGTAGCTCTGAACACACTATGTTGGGTTCTGTGTGGTCTTCTGCATGCCTTTCCAGGCTGTCCATTCCTACCCCAACTAATCATCCATCTTCTGTAGCTGATTGTCCTATGTGGGGTGGTCTCAGTGAAAGGTATGCAGCCTATCCTGGAGGCTATGGGTGCAAAGCAGGGAACAACCCAGGATGGGCCACCAACCCATCACAGGGCAACACACGCATCATACACACCTATGGGCAATTTAGTAACTCCAATTAATCTCAGTTTGTTTTTGGACTGCAGAAACTGGAGTACCTGAAGGAATCCCATTGATGACCTGAGGAGAACATGCAAAGTCCACACACATGGTGCCATAGCAGAACCCTGAACCCAGGTCCCTGAGGCAGTAGTGCTAAGCACAGCTCTACCCTCCCGCCCCCCCGACCTCAACCAGAAGCCCCTTTATCAACACTACTGTTCACCTGATGCTGAGAGAACAGACTGCAGCTCTCAACCAACATGTACACATTTGGATTGGTCGGGGTGGGGGTCCAATCAGGAGCGTCTGCAGCTGTACACATGCACAAACTGTGTGTCCGTGTCATTTAAACCTCTTATTATCTGGTTCATGTCGTATGTTCTTGTTTTCTTTCGTTATATCTGCAACAGAAATGTAAAAAGAGCACGATTCCGGGTAAAAAATGAGTCAATATTTTCTCTCACAATTCTTAATATTTTTTCCTCTTTATTATTATTTTGCATTACATATTTGTATTGACAGAATACACCATATGTAGAATGTACAACATATTGGTTAACATACCAATATTGCCAACCAATGTTTAAACTTTATAATTTTTCAAAGCAGCACCAGAGCTAAAGACACAACTGCTTAAATAACGGAGATGATTGCACTGGATGATCAGCTATTTTCTATAGTGGAGAATGGGGGATTTTTCATTGGTGTCATGAAGTTTGTGGACGATACAATCGTCAGAGGTCTGTCCGAAGAGCCTCGAAGACCGTCGGCAGGGATCTTCCCCACCTGCGACCCATCAGCCTCTCCCGCGGCCAGATGAGGACCAGATCATGGCTTTGCCAGCCACCCATTTCACATCTCACCCCAAGTGTTTCATTAGCAGCTGCTTTCGCAAAGCCATGAGGTTGCTAAATAACCAGTGACCTGCATCTGTCCCTAGTATTGTGTTACAGCCTGTTACTATTGTTACTATTCTCTATTCTCCTCCACCCTTTCTTAGTAATGTACTATCTCTGTGGTTATTTGCATGCCCTCCCTCGATGCAACTAGGGTTGCAAAGGGGCGGAAAGTTTCCGGTAAATTTCCATGGTAAGTTAAGCTTGGGAATTTTGGAAATATTCCATATTGGAAACTTTCCATGGGAATAATGGGAATTATGGAAATTAATGGGAATTTAGGAGAACTAACTGGGAATATATTATTTCCAAGCATAAATATAAACAGAAATCATAAGAAAACCTCCATGCAAAATGTTTTCAACAGATTTATTTGTAAGTACAGTAGAATAGAACACGTTTCAATAACTTGTTTCATGGATGAATAAAAACAGAAATGTTGAGTTCAATATTACCATCCCCTAACCCCGCTCATTCAAAAATGCCCCCTGTCCAAAAATCTCCACAAAGTCCCATTCAAAAGGTTAACTGAGTTAGCGACGTACGAAGAACGAGCCCCTGGAATGATCTTCAAAACAAAACAGCCAAATGAGGAAGCTAGCATCTTCTTTATGTTATACTAGCTATGGCTTATTTAGCATCTAACAGATGCTAGCATTTTATTTAGCATCTTATCAGATTGCTATCTACCAGATTAATACATTTTATGTGATATTCACAATTTAAACATTTAATGAATATATTTTCCCATAATATCATCAAAACTTACCTCACTTGTTAAGTCCACAGGCTCAAATGTGTGCCTTCAATACTCTTTGTCCTTCAGGCTCAAAAGTGTGGTCCATGTGTACATGTGATGGAGGCATGCACAGTGCCAGTAGGTGGTCTCAATAGCCATGCAGCAAGCATGTGCTCTGTACATGTGATTAAGGAATGGCATGGATATTCAAGTGTATTTGAATTGCATTTGTTTGTTTTTGTCAATATTATGCTAAAATATACTTTGCTCAACTATATTTAAGTTCCCTAAGAAGAGCCAACCTTCAATTTTGAAAATTCCCAGTTTATTCCCATTAATTCCCGTTAATTCCCATGGAAAGTTTCCATCTTTGAAAATTCCGGGAATTTTGCAACCCTAGATGCAACACCTGTTTATTTCATATTTATTGTTTCACTCCCTATATTACACTGTCTTACCCCTTATTGTACTGCTGTTTGTCTCACTGTCCCCTGACGCACCTGTCCCCTCCCGTGCAACTGTGCCATAGGAATTACCCTGTGTGACTTGGAACACGTGCAACAATAAAATGTGAAACTTCTACATAGTGAAGAAGAAAATAACGCAGCCATTTTAGCCATAAGAATCCATTTTAATCTGGGGTACCTTATATCTGGCATGTTATCCAACTGAGCAAGAAATCCTGCTTCGTGGTACTGGCCCTTGTTACAGGTGGTGTTTAGCAAATTTAAGCAGTACTGTTTTCCAGGCGTGGGGGGGGGGGGGGGGGGGGGCTGCCCCCTTCTCCCGAACAATCGAAAATGTCCCCTTTGTTGAGATTCTAAGTGGCCGACAATCATGCAAAATGTACCCCTTGAAAGGTCTGTGAACTAAGGACGGTAGTTACAGTGCATTTACTCAGGAATTTCACTTCCTTCATCTCACAATCAAATGACGTCATTTATTGAAGCTTGGTCCAGTATCCCACTGCAAGGTGCTCAGGATTCACATCACATCATCCCAAGAAGGACTGAAGCTGGGTATCCCTGAAGTAGCCCTGCTCCTAGGTCATCAATATTAATGTATTGCTATGTGTTTCTGTTATATAGTACATCAGGTGTAAACTGCACAATAACATAAATAAGCCTATTAGGACCAATGCCTGAGTAGTTTCCCTGTCATTATATTTGGAAACCTAGTAACGGTATTGTTGCATTTCCACATAAATAAGATAAAATTAATCATCTATGACTCGATTTTTACTTATATACTTATGTACCTTTTACTCATAGCTGCTGGCATTGCATCCTCCTTAATTAACTGATTCAACTATTCTAAAAGGCAATAAGTCTCGCCAAATCGCTGTTACTGTAACTCTTCATTCCGTGCGGCCATCTTTTTTTTAGTCAGGAGGTATTATTTGGCACAGTCAAATAATAGGGGTTAGTCTCAGTGGGCCTCGGTTTTGCCTGAATTGCCAGCGGCATCTTCACCTGTACACTTGTGAACCTGTTGTAGACTTTTGTGAGTATTGCCAAAGGGCAAGCGGTTGCACTCTGAAGCAGCTGATGGTGAGGATTTGTAAGATTATTGCTGCAATAACAGGACCTCCCTTGGTTGAGCAAAGATCACCAGGTTCATGCTGTTACATCATCAGAAAATAAACTTTACTAAAACATAGGTGTGGCTGGCAAGACTGGTAGCTAACTGCTTAGTTAGCTGCATTATTTTCCGAATCAGAATCAGGTTTATTGGCTAAGTGTGTGTGTGGCTCACACAAGGGATTTGTTTCCAGCAGTTGATGTCTCTCTGGTACATAACAATACAATAGAACAAATACAATATAAAAGACATCTTATTTACAGACAGACAATGTACATAAATTGCAAACAATATTGAACGTGCAAAGTGAATGGGATGCAAAGTGTATGGTATGTCTTAGATTCAGTTCAGTGGTGTGTTGTGAGTGGAGCAGGGTGTAGCAGTCAGGGAAACAGGTGTAGGTTGATGTTGCAGGTGAGATGTTTGTAAGGATGATGGCTTGAGGGAAGAAACTGTCCCTGTGGTGACTTGTGAGGGGAGAAGTTCAAAAAGACAGTGTCCAGGATGTGATGGGTTAGTGATTTTTTTTTCCTGCCATTTTCCAAGTTCTTGAAGTGTACAAGTCCTGGTGGGAGGGCTGGGGGGGGGCACCGATTATTCGTTCTGCTGTCCTAACTGTCTGTCGCAGTCTGTTCCTCTCCGTTTTCGTGGCTGCTCCAAACCACAGGACGGACTCGATGACTGCTGAGTAGAGCTGGATCAGCAGTTCCTGTGGGAGATCGTACTTCCTCAATTGTCGCAGGAAGTACATCCTCTGCTGGGCCTTCTTGAGGATGGAGGAGATGTTGCTCTCCCACTTCAGGTCTTGGGAAATGATAGTTCCCAGGAACTTGAAGGTCTCCACAGGTGACACCAGGGTGCTGTGCATGGTGAGGGGGACCAGTGCTGAGGGGTGTTTCCTAAAGTCCACTGTCATTTCCACAGTCTTGTGCGTGTTCAGCTCCAGATTGTTCTGGCTGCACCAAAGTACCAGCCGCTCAACCTCCCGCCGACATGCAGATTCGTCGCCATCTTGGATGAGTCCGATGACTGTGGTGTCGTCTGCGAACTTCAGGAGTGTCACAGCTGGGTCCATGGAGGTGCAGTTATTGGTGTAGAGGGAGAACAGCAGGGGAGATAGGACACAACCCTGAGGAGCACCAGTGCTGATGGTCTGTACATCAGAGGTGATCTCCCCCAGCCTCACTTGCTCTTCCCTGCCAGTCAGGAAGCTGGTGACCCACTGACAGATGGCAGGAGATACGTTCAGCTGGGAGAGTTTGGAGGAGAGGATTTCTGGGACAATGGTGTTGAACGCCGAACTAAAGTCCGCAAACAGGATCCTTGTATAAGTCCCTGGGCAGTGGAGGTGTTGCAGGATGTAGTGCAGTCCCATGTTCACTGCATCATCTAATGACCTGTTTGCCCGGTAGGCAAATTGCAGGGGGCGAGCAGGTGCCCTGTAACGTTCTTCAGATGGGCCAACACCAGACGTTCAAAAGACGTCATGACCACCAATGTCAGGGAGACAGGTCTGCAGTCATTCAGTCCAGTGATGGGGAGTTTTCTGACCATTACACATCCATTTTGCAGTTTAATTTCATATTTAAATCAATACAAAAAAGATCCATGAACTTACCAAAGCTTTCACCTCATTTGGTATAGATTTACACATGTGCACATGCAAGTGTTATGCGACGGCCCAGGGTGGAGTCGGTACACAGCTGTGGGTGTTTCCCATTGATTAATTGGCTAATTTCTCCTGGTTAAATGGGCTGAGAGGAGAGAGGGGTATAGGGCTTCCCCCCCCAGACCTCCACCTGCCCCTGTCCCTGTCCCTGCACCTGCCCCTGTCCCTGTCCCTGCCCCTGTACCTGCACCTGCCCCTGCACCTGCCTCTGTCCCTGCACATGCACCTGCACCTGCCCCTGCACATGCACCTGCCCCTGTCCCTGCCTCTGCCCCTGTCCCTGCCTCTGCCCCTGCACCTGCCTCTGTCCCTGCACATGCACCTGCACCTGCCCCTGCACATGCACCTGTCCCTGCACCTGCCTCTGCCCCTGTCCCTGCACCTGCCTCAGCCCCTGTCTCTTCCCCTGTCCCTGTCACAGTCAGATGTGGTGATGTTTGGTCGGTCTAATGAGGAGCAGGGTAATATACATGTAAAATATGGGCTGGATATTGAAGAAGGTTATGTTCTGTTTGTCACTGAAGGGCATGTGTCTATATAAGATTCCTGTTACAATACTTTGGGATACTGGTGCTTCAGTGTCATTTATTCGGGACTCTGTTCTGCCTTTTTCTTCTGAGTCTGATACTGGTAATTGTGTGTTGATTCGAGGTGTTGGGATGCAGACTATTTCAGCTCCTTTGCACAAGTTGCAGGTTTATTCAGAATTTGTACAATGACCCAACATCATTGCTCTGCCTGTTGAGGGATTAGACCTAATCTTGGGTAACAATTTAGCTGGAGTTGGGTGTGGCCTGTTATTCCGCCACCACCGGTGGTGAAAGCAGATTTGACTTCTGGTGTGAGTGAGACTGATGCATGTGGTAATGACATTCTGGAAGTTTTCACAGCATGTGCTATAACTTGGGCCCGAAGTGCTGCCTTAAAACAACCTGGGGTATTTGTGATATTTGAGGCACAAAAAGTAGGCTTTAGTAGTGGGTATTTAATACAGGATGGGTTGTTGGTCCGTAATTGGTCCTCGTTTAATGATTGTGTTGGGGAGGTCGTGGTACCTATTGTATTAAGGAGTTTGGTTTTACGGACAGGTCATGATGATGTGGCTGGGCACTTTGGAGTTAGGAAAACTTAGGATAGGCTTTTAAAGCATTTCTATTGGCCAAAAATAAAGAGATGTTGCCAGATTTATATAAACTTGCAATGCTTGTCAGATGGCTGTTAAACCCAATCAGTCGTTTAAGCCAGTGCCTTTATACCCAGTTCCAATGGTTGGAGTGCTGTTTAAACAACTTGTTATTGATTGTGTAAGTTCGTTGCTGTTTATCTTTGAACATTTTTGTGTTAGGCCACGCGTCATCCTGCGGCATATCGATTAAGGAATATTACTACGAAGTCTGTGGTAAAAGCACTGTCTCAACTTTGTTCCATATTTGGTATTCCAAAGATAATTCAAAATGATAGGGGTACCAATGTTACGTCTCTGCTGAAATAGTTACATGTTCAACATAATAAAAGCAGTGCTTATCATGCTCAGAGCCGAGGTGCTCTGGAAGGTTTCCATCAGACTTTAAAAATCTTTGTTGCAGATTTATTGTGTGGAATTGAAGAAAGATGTTAATGTTAATGTTAATGTTAATGGGTTTCGCCGCAAATTATACTTGGCATGTAAACTGGCTAGGGAGAATTTGTTAAAGGCTCAAAGAAAAATTAAAAGACTGTTTGATTGAGAAGCTGAAGCTAGAGATTTAATCCTGGGGATCAAGTTTTAGCCTTGTTTCCTATACCAGATTCTCCCTTTGTGGCAAAGTTGTCTGAACCGGACTATTTGGTTAAAAAACCTAATGCTACTCGAGCTTTGTGATGTTAAGTGTAGCTAGTGCTTTACAGTCCATAAGACCGCTTAAAGGTAATGGGATATGCTGGAGGAATGAGTGCGGCGATCCACGTGCTCCTTGCCAACAGGCAGTAGGATTGAGAATCTGGAGATAAAAGAAGTGCATTAAAAGAGCAGTGAGGGGGTGAAATGAGGGCAGTCAACTGTCTTGTTTCGATTCCACATGATTCAAAAGGAGGAATTAG